TATCACATGCCCCCTCTTCATCAAAACAACACCTAACCCTGTGATAGACACATCTGTTGGGTTTTATGGACTATAACACTCCTATGGTGCACATACAACCCTAATAGCTTTGGATCAAAGTTTTCTCTCATTATACGTGCAACAAAATTTTCCAAAACTAGAAACCTACAACTAGCATATTGTTGGGTTTTGATCACTATAACACTTCATAAGTGCACATGCAGCCCTAAATACTTTGGATCTATGTTTTCTCAAATTATACATTTATTTTCTATTTCCAAATCATTCACCCTAAGTAGCATACAATTGAAGTTATATAACAAAACTTTTGTTAGGAGGCTTACCTCTTGAGTAGGGTAGATTTCTTGACCTCTGAAAGTGTGAGCACCTCAAGTGTGATGTCTCTAATGGTTCAAAAACACCAATATGAAAAAGGAGGTTCTAAGAAAATAATTTACTTGTCTCTATTTGTGACATCCCCTAATTTCTCGGCCAGAAAAGAGCGATTTAATTTATGCTTTTTAAAATAAAATCAGAGAAATCTTTTTAAAAGATGTTGCGGAATTGGTCCCCAAACAAAATATGATAAAAGTTTATCAAAATCCTTCAATAAGAAGGTATATGTTTTCCATATATATATATATATATATATATATATATATATATATATATATATATATATATATATATATATATATATCAAAACCTCGGGATGTCATGTTCCGATACAGATCAAAAGCATAAACAAGACATTATAAGACTTTCAACAGTTATTTACAACTACTGGCCTATAATCCAAAAATGTCTCTTCATCCTCCGACTATGCTCGGTGTCCACTACCTGTAACATAAAAAGCTGAGTGGGTCAGGCTGGGAGTATGGTGAGTATATATGGTTTTCAACCCACAATAATAATAAACTTACTAAGTTCATCAATCAACAATAACCCTGATTACCCGTTCCCGTTATCCTCACTTTACGTCCCAAAACACTTATCACAAGGGACCTAGCCTAAAGAATATCATCGGGATGGACACTATTGCTAAGGGGTTTCCTCAGCCATACATGTCCTAAAGGCAACCATGAGGGGGATGGAGTACACTAATGAACAATCTTAGTTCATTAACACCTACAGGTTGCGGACCTGCTAATGTTTCCCACTGGACTGTCTAGAAAGTCCGTGGTCGTCATCCAAACTCCGCTAGATGACTGGATTTCAAAACACATCGAGGCCTCTCATAAATTTTATTTTATCGCACATCACTATCTACCATGTTCTACCCAACATATTTGTAGATAAAAATACTTATATAGGTTAAAACTTGTATAAAACATCAACTCAATAGTTACCTCAAATAAACAATTAATATATCTACACATAGCACGTATTATAAGGTAAATACTTCATATCTATGTGTAAAATGAAAGTGACTATACACTCACATGATTTGATGATAATCGGGCAGCAATTCGTTTCCTAAAACGATCGTTTCTAATAAAACCGAGAGTTTTATTGAGAAACCGGGCTCTACAAAGTTGGGCTTCGAAACCGAAAAGATAAATTTTGCGGGCTTCTGGGCACTTCATAGGGTATTCCGGGCTTTACAATCGATACCGGGGCTTTGCAGGATGTTAAAATGAAGAAAATATGGGTTTAGGGGTTAAAAGTGACAAAATTCTAAAATTACCCGGGAAGTCTGGCACCCTTCTATTTATAGGGGTGAGGCTTCTGATTGGATGGTCAGGAAGGAGACACGCGTCGCAGATCCGAAGGGTTCGCAGGGGGTGGCTCGCACGAGGACTGCACGTGCGAAGGGCTCGCTGGCACTTCTTATTGGACCGTGGTCTACTGCAGCACATGCGAGGTTCGAGTTAGGTGCGAGGCTCGGAGCTAGGCTGGTGCGAGGTTCGGTCCGGATGCGAGCTTCGGATTGGGCCTCCCTTTGGTCGAATCAGAAGAGGACACGTAGCTCCTGTTCATGCGAGGAGTCATCGGCTTGGTCTCCGGCTCGGACACGTGGCTCGCATGACTCACCAGAATTTCAGACACGTGGCTCGTATGCTGCGAGGGTGACGTGGCCGAAGCCACATATGCGAATTTTCTCGGTTATTGTGCAAAAACTTCTAAAATCCATAACTTTCGCATACGAACTTTGTTTTTGAGTTCTTTATATGCACGCGTAGCTAAAATTACGCTCTACAACTTTCTTTTAGACTTCGTCGGCTAATTTTGACTTTAAATTTTATATTATTATTTTAACAGATTGGGACAGGAAATCCGTTAAAAATTCATAACTTCTTCATACGACGTCCGTTTTCATCAGACTTTTTACCGTTGTGCTCCTAATGATGAGACCTTCAATTCTCGTTTAGGTTGTGTCGGCTAAAAATCGCTCGATCTAAAATTCGAGTTTTTAGCTGTCTACTACTACGCTGAAACTTCGAAAAATCATAACTTCCTCATACGAAGTCAGATTTGGGCGTTCTTTTTATCGAACTTCTCGGTTTAACAAATACTACGACTTTCATTTAGATTACTAAGGCTAAAAGTAGTTTATCGAAAACTCACTTTTTACGACATTCAGCACCGTGCCGGTTTTGTCGCGAAACTTCGACAGGTCATAACTTCTTCGTTATAACTCGGATTTTGGTATTCTTTATATCCCTGAAATCCTTGTTTCGAGCACTACAAGTTTATGTAAAGATATCGGGCTTATCTCAAGTTCAATTTTGACGCTTATTTTTATTCTTAATTAAATAAACCCTAATAATTAAGCATAAAACACATAATTCATATAATATTCACATAATTCCTTTTCATTTCTTCAAAATGAGTTACAAAGGTTAACCCAGACTATCAACTCAATAAAATGCCTAGGCTAGAAACACGAGTGTTACAATTCTCTCCCGCTTAGGATGATTTCGTCCCCGGAATCACATATCACAAAACAACTGCGAGTAGCGACTTATCATGTCACTCTCTATTTCCCAAGTGAGATTTGCTCCATTCGTATGTTTCCAACGTATAAGCACTGAATCAACCATCTTGCGTTGCAACTTCATAGTCTTACGGTCAACGATTGCCTCAGGTTCTTCGATGAACCTCTTGTTTTCATCCAACCTTAACTCAGAAATCGGAATTATATCGGGCACATCTCCCGTGAACTTTCTCAAGTAACACACATGAAAGGTGTTATGAATACCCTCCAGTTCTTCTGTAACTCTAGCTTGTAAGCTTGATTCCCGATCTTCTGAAGAACTTTGAACGGTCCAATAAACCTTGGAGTCAACTTTCCTTTTTTCCCAAATCTTATAAGTCCCTTCCACGGAGAGACTTTAAGTAAAACCGAATCTCCAACTTCAAACATTATCGGTCATCTTTTCTTGTCAGCATAACTCTTTTGTCGATCTTGAGCAGCTAACATCCTTTCTCTTATCACTTTCAACTTTTCGGCAGTCTGATGGACTATTTCAGGTCCCCCAAACTGCTTTTCCCCAACCAACTTCCAGCCAACATGATGGCGTTCAACACTTTTCCCCATACAAAGCGTGATAAGGTGTCATCTTAATGCTTGAGTGGAAACTATTATTATAGGAGAATTCTACTAGAGGTAAATGTTCATCCCAGTTACCTTGAATTCTAGGGTACATGCTCTCAACATATCCTCCAATTTTGAATCGTTCGTTCACTCTGACCATCGGTTTGTGGATGGTAAGCTGTACTCAAACACAACTTAGTACCCAATTCCTCTTGTAGACTCTTCCAAACCTTGAGGTAAAATGGCTATCACGATCGGATACAATTGTTAGCAAACACCGTGAAGCCTCACAATTTCCTTCACATAAGAATTTGCAAGTTTATCCATAGACCATTTCTCTTTGGCTGCTATGAAATGTGCACTCTTAGTGAAGCGAT